GTGCAATAGTTATTAGGAGGGGTAGGCTGAATAATGAGCGGACATAGAGTAATATTACGTAGCGCTCCCTACCAACAAAGGCTCTGACCCCCCCTCTGGTCACTTAAAAATTATGACCACCCCCCCCCTCCTCGGCCCCACACATTGACTAACATTAACATGAATTCACTCCTTATGTCCTCTCCCGCTTTTCAACGGCTGAGTCTATAATATTACCTCAAAGCTTCGTTTGACAAAGCCGGCCATTTCAATACAGACCGATTGCGCATCGTCTTTTGTATCGTCCTATGATTCACTGGATTGAAGATTTGAATCATTTGCGTCGCTACCTTCCATTTCTGGTTGAGTCATGACCAGCACGAAAATAACTCATAGCTACTATCCCCCCTCTTTTCCTCCGCTGACTCGTAAAAAGTGCTCCTTCAGGCACAGCAGGAATTAAAACAAAGGCATTCAGATTCGTTGTGTGAGACCAGGAGCCACTCTTGGTGAGACACAAGGGCTCCAACAAGCGAGATATCGAGCTTCCGGTTGCTGTTGTTGTTAAGGAGACAGCTTGCCCACAAAAACATTAGATACCAGTCCCCCCCTTCTTGAAAGAGAATCTTAAATGTTTCCACCCGCCCCACCCACCCCCTCTCCTTCTTTAGGAAATGATAAATAGGATGTCATTCCAGTGGAAAATTTCCGAGAGGAACAGAACATCCGGAAAAGGAAGTCCTTTTTTTCCGGACGGGATGTTCCAAACGGAAATTCGTGTTCCATTTGTTAAACCCATCTTTGATACCAGTTTCAGGCTTTCGTGGCCGTTTTTTCGGTAAAAGAAAAACTAGAGGCTAACAAATGCGGCAGCGCGAGCATTTATCATGCAGCTATAGATGGTCGTGTACAGCCTCATCGTCTGTTCTCTTTTCTTAAATTTGTCACGTGGAAAGTTGAGACCCAGTAGCTGCATATCATTATTCGCCTACTCTCTCTACTTTTTATTTGACTTTCAATTTCCCTCTACGCGCAGGGGTAAGACATGACGTCATTAACGCAGTCACGTCACGATCGAGTAGAGCATCAATCACAGGTCCAGGTAAGAAGTTAAGGTTTTTTTTTTTACCAATACGACAAGCAATATTGACCATAATTGTTTCATTCGTACTGTAAAATATTCAGTCAGCAAGGTTTGTTGATTGTGTTGATCGTGTTCATCCTAATTAAAGTAGTTTTTACAATATACATTAGGAGTGGCGGCCATATTTGCAGGCAATCTTGTCCCTAGGGTCCTGGCATCCTCCCGCTGACCGAAAAGCTCGCAGATTCTGGGTATGAGACTGCAGTAGATTGTTACGCCAGTGACAGTTTAGTTCAGGTTTTTATTACTACATTCAAAGCCCTCTTAATATGGACACCTCATTATTACGGACAGCTTGCTTTGTCCCTGGGGAAAATACCCTTAAATTTTCTCAAAATTCAACCCACTTAATAGGGACACCCTGTTAACGTGGACAACATGTTATTCTGTGACCCCATATTAACGGGAATTGACTGTACTGACCAACGGCTCTTAGTTGTATTTAAGATTGACTAACGCTTGTTACAAAATGTTTTAGTTAAAAAAAAAAACAAAAAAAAAACGGGCAAATGCAATAGACCTTTTTACCGATACGGCGGCCATATTGAATTAATTCGATTTAAGGAGTATTATAGGATGCCCAGGGGGCATGAGCACATTTCGTTTGTATTTTCGAACGCTTTTCGGGACATTTTTTCTTAAAGTTTTCTTAGAATAAGATTGTAATGGGAAAAAAGATCCTTGTGCCGTGTTTGGATGTAATAATGATCGCCTTTTCGCCGAGAAATATACAGTGAAAGACCATATTTCTAATACTAAACTAGAAAAAGGCGATCATTATTACATACAAACACGGCACAAGGATCTTTTTTCCCATTACAATCTTATTCTTAGAAAATTTTAAGAAAAAAGTCCCGAAAAGCGCTCGAAAATACAAACGAAATGTGCTCATGCCCCCTGGGCACCCTATAATACTCCTTAAATCGAATTAATTCAATATGGCCGCCGTATCGGTAAAAAGGTCTATTAGATTGCTTTCATCACCAACAGATCAACGAATAAATACAGAAAAGATCATACGCAACTTATGCAGTTGCGAAAAGAGAAAAGAAAGCTTGAAAAAATTCAACGACCAGCTCCCAGTTGGGTTGCTACCTCAACTGGTTGTTAGAGCCCTGCACTGGTATCGCAGTGGTCAGGTTTCCAAATTTAGCCTGACTTTTTTCAGGCTTTCTTTTCGCAGCTGCATAAGTTGCGTATTTTATTGTGATGATCTTCTCTACAGTGCAGTTATTTCTTCATCCCGCATTTCAAATATATGAAAGCATATATTCATCATTTCAGATCAACTAATATCTACAATACCTTACAAAGTGTACTCTCAGCTTGTCCTGCTCTTAGCAAGAGACAGAATCAACATCGCCAGTAGGATATTTGATTTGACACTGGAGGAAGCAATCGCTTTAAAAGACCTTACAGAGCAAAGCTGTAACTCAATGCACACCGGCATGGACGCGGTTTTCCAGCTGATGAGTGAAAGACAAGTGAGACTTGGCGAGCTAGTGGAGGTGTTAAAAGAGATGAACAGATACGATGCCATAAGTGTTCTTACTGAGGCTGGATATCCTGAATATACTTTAGGTAACTAATCATGGACGTTTCTGGGTAACTGCCCACCTACCCCTCCCCTAAGCCAACAGTAACACTT